AAACGCATTTTACTCGGATATCAATCGAGTGACATGTAACTGTCAGTCAATCGTGTTTATTTGTGTATTGAGATTGTGGCATTGTGTTTCGTAAATAATTTATAAATTATTTAGTTTTGGTTACTAAATAAAAATCGTTAAAATGGCGAGTGTTGTTAACAAAGGACCATATAAATACTGTTTAGTTCCTGAATGTAAATCTACAAGTCTTAGAACTCCGGATAAAATATTTGTCTCTCTACCAGCAGCAAATACCAAACAAAAATACAAGCGCAAACTATGGCTGAGTGCAATGGGAAGAAATGAAAATGATTTAGCTGAAAGTACAAGAGGCCATGTCTGTGAAAATCACTTTAATGTTAGTAAATAATGATATATTATTAATGTTGTTTTATATACAGTGTGTCTGAAAAAGTTGGCAACAAATGGGAAACTTTTTTATTATTAAGTTTAGGAAAAAACGTCATTCTTCATAAAAAGTTCTGCAAGGCCTAAAACCCAATATACGATAATCAGATATCGAAATTTTCCAATCGTATACGAGGTTTGTCAAAAAGTATGAATTTTGCTCAAGAGTAAAGTACCTTTATTTTCGACAATATCTAAAATTGTTATTAAGAAAAGTTGATTAGAATTGAAAACTACGTTTAAATGTCTAATTACAGCTATCTACGATAAAAACCAGGTTTTATTATTGTTTACAATTTCTTTAAGATCGAAAATGATCAAAAACTAGGTATCTAAATTATTGACCTGTACAAAATCAAGTTGCTGTGGAAATGTTTTGAAACATATCTTATGTCAGTATGCTTCAAAACCTCAGTTTGTAATAATTGTACTTTTTTAAATACTAGTAAAAATGCCGTTGAAATTAAGTCTTGAAGAGAAAATTGAAATTGTTTTAATTGTTGGAGATAACTACAAAACTTATAGGGAAGCTGCCATAATCTTTAATAACAGACATCCTGATAAAAATGTACATTTTGCAACAGTAAGTAAAATAATAAAAAAGTTCAAGTGTTCCGGAAATGTTGAGAATAAATTCAAAAAGAAACATGAGGCATGAGTTGCTACTGAAGAAATTCAAAATCAAGTAATGCTCTCAGCAATAGAAAATCCTAAAGATTCCATAAGAAAAAGGGCAGCTTTACTTGGTGTGCGCAAAGACGTAGTTGCAGGAATATTAAAAGCAAACAAATTTAAACCTTACAAACCCCAGTTCACTCATACCCTAAAAGCAGGAGATTTTAATAGAAGATTTGAATTTTGTGCTTGGTTCCAAGGGGAGTTAGAAGATAATAATTATATGGCACGGTGCATAATTTTTTCGGACGAGGCAACGTTCACTTCTAATGGGGTAGTCAGCTCACAAAATTGCTGTTGGTGGAGTGATGTTAATCCTAATTTCACTGTCCAAACTCGTGACCAATACTGTTTTAAAACAAATGTATGGTGTGGAATTTTTAAAGATAGAATAATTGGACCATTTTTTTTTTCGAACTAATATGAATGCTGAACGTTATCTGGAATTTTTAAATAATGAGATTCTTGAATTTCTTCATAACCTACCAATAATGGAAAGGCAACGTACATGGTACCAACATGATGGAGCAACCTGCCATAGTACAAGAAATGTTCGAGAATGTCTTCTACAAATTTTTAACGGAAGAGTAATTGGAAGATTTGTGGACTTTGCTTGGCCTCCAAGATCTCCGGACCTGACCCCCCTAGACTTCTTTTTATGGGGATACTTGAAGCAAAAGGTATACCTTAAAAGACCGTTTGAAAATATTGATCATTTGGAAAGAATAATTAGGGAAACATGTGACGGTGTTACTCCAGATGTTATTAGAAATGCAATAAAAGAATTCTCTCGAAGAACAATTACCTGCTTAGAAAGGGACGGTGGATATGTTGAGGCGTACGTGCAGTGAGGGAAAAGTTAATCCGGATTCTTCTTTTTCATGCATGTAATGTTTAATGTTGTGTTTTGAAAATAAATGATTTTAATTATGTATGCATTTGTTTACATTGTATTATTGATAACTCGTGCAAAACAAAGTCAATATTTATAGCAAAATTTGCAATGAGAAAATGAGTGGTGTAATCAGTAAGTGCACATGAACATAATTTTTAATTTCTATCGATATCTGAGGTTTTGAAGCATACTGACATAAGATATGTTTCAAAACATTTCCACAGCAACTTGATTTTGTACAGGTCAATAATTTAGATACCTAGTTTTTGATCATTTTCGATCTTAAAGAAATTGTAAACAATAATAAAACCTGGTTTTTATCGTAGATAGCTGTAATTAGACATTTAAACGTAGTTTTCAATTCTAATCGACTTTTCTTAATAACAATTTTAGATATTGTCGAAAATAAAGGTACTTTACTCTTGAGCAAAATTCATACTTTTTGACAAACCTCGTATACGATTGGAAAATTTCGATATCTGATTATCGTATATTGGGTTTTAGGCCTTACAGAACTTTTTATGAAGAATGACGTTTTTTCCTAAACTTAATAATAAAAAAGTTTCCCATTTGTTGCCAACTTTTTCAGACACACTGTATATTATAACTGGGTACTATTTTACTATATTTGTTGTAGTTTGAAGAAGATATGGTGAATTTTGTAAAATATAAGTTAGTAGGAGGCAACATATATTTGAAGGAGCATGTTGTACCGCACATTTTCCAATGCAAAACTGGTAGAAAACGCACTTCAGAAGAAAAATAATTTGAAGCTTCTGCCAAAAAAGCAAGACAAAATATTGTAGAATCTTTGCTGATGGACAATGCAAGTGAAAATATCACAGATGAAAATGTTTTGAGAAAGAATACATTTGAAAAATGTACACAAACACAAGTAACAGAGGTTAAAGATTTTGGTGCACAAGTGCTGATTAGACCTTACTACAGAAGTAAACTAATTCAAACTGAAGAACTTTATTTTAAACCTCAAGCTGTAAGTGTTACATGTTCGCCTTTCAAATTTGAAATCTCAGAAGAAAGAATTTCACCATCTAAAGAAAGTTCGAGCAGTGATGTAGCCCATAGTGAAACTGACTCTTACTCTTCTACTTTTATCAGTGACTTAAGCCCATCAAGTAGTGAAATAATATATGTAGAAGATGATAGGATTAAGTCAATATCTTTGGAGCGGTCATGTTTTTTAGCGATTAAAAAAAGTAGATTTTATTTAGGAATTCCTGAAAGTGAATTTTACATAATTCCTCTTTTAATTAAATTTACAAAATTGTCACAAATTTCCATTTTTGTAACTTAAAAAAAAATTAGAACCAATTTACCATATGAACATTTAGGAGATGATTTTGGTTTATCTTCAAGCCAAGCAGCAAAAATATTTCAAAAAAGTGTTCCACGTATAAGTGCATGTTTAAAACAATTGATAGTCTGGCCACCACAAGAACACATTAAATTTTTCTTACCAATTGCATTTCGAGCCAACTACAACAATGTACAAAGCATCATTGACTGTTATGAAATTGAGATTGAAAAACCTTCTGATCCAGTGCAACAAGCTGGTACATGGTCGGAATATAAAAAAGCGAACACTTTAAAATTTTTAATTTCCTCTACTCCAGATGGCCTTATAAATTATGTTTCTGGTGGTTTTGGGGGGCGTACTACAGATGTTACTATTTTAGAGAAAAGTAATTATTTAAAAGTATTGCCTCGAAACTCTTGTGTAATGGCAGATAGAGGTTTCAGGGGTATAGATCTTGTACTCATGTCATTGAACAGTGTTTTTTAAGACCTCCCAGTGTCAAAAGTGGGGTGAAAAGTACAAAGGCTGAAGTCTTAGAAACTAACAGAATTGCAGCTTTACGAATACACATTGAAAGGGTAATTCGTAGAGTGAGGGAATTTAAAATTTTAAAACCATTCATGTGTAAATAAAAAAATGATAAAATATTTAGATCATATAGTATTAATTGTCTGCGGTTTGGTTAATGTACAATCTGCTCTTATTAAGAGTTAATTAATATTACTTGAAGCTGTATGTATAATTGTAAATAAAATGTTGATTCATGTATATACAGGGTAAGTCATGAATTAAATGAAGTAATGTTATTTGCAAACTGAATTACCATATATGTTGTTAGATAATTATTAATATTTTCCATTTTTACCTAAAACAGCTTAATGCCTCAACAAAAACGAGGAGAGAAAAATGTAACTTTCCAATAAAAGTAAAATGGGATACCTTCTGTATATATTTTTTAAATATCAATTTGTTAAATTTAATTTTTAACTACTTTTTGTTTGAAAACAATCATACTTATTTCCTATTTAATGAATAAGTGTCTCCTGTACAAGTTGTATTTTTTAAATTAGAGAAAAAATATATTTTTTTAAATGTCAATGTACTTGATTTGTTTCTTATTTTTAACTGCATTTTGTATGCAGTCATCTTACTAATAAATAATTGTTCATTTCCTATATCCTTCCAATTTTAAAACTACAGAAAAAATCTCCAATTTCGAAGCGATTGGTATTGCCCAATTAAAAAATTAAATATATTAATTTATTTCTTCCTTGTATGTTCCTTGTTTTTTCTTTGTCATAAAGCAATAAAAATGTTTCTCTTATTTACTTTATCCTTTTAATAAAATATAACAAATACAGTAAATCATCATTTAAGACTAAATGTCAAATGTTATTTACATTTTCCCAAAAATGACTAGTATTTCCAAGAAGAAATTTTTTATAGTATATGATTTAGTTGTTCCTATATTTTGCTGCACAAGGGCACAAAATTATATTAAATGACCATTATAGAAGATTATTTTTAAATCTATTTTATTACTTTATAAATTTAGTTACTTTTCTTCAGTTTTTTTTTTTTAAATTCAAGAGGTAAATGTGGAGAAAAATACATCATAAGACAGTAAAACATATATTTATATTAATTAATAACAATCAATTTGATGAAGTTAACAATTTTTGAAAAAGTTTTACTTTCCAAAATTCTCTTGCTCGTTTTATTATGTCTGAACAATAATTTTGATCAAAATCTACATTGACAGTAGTAATTACATTTGTAGTCTCAAAATTGGGATCAGCAACACAAAATAAACATTTTTTCAAGCCTGCGAAAAACATTTGTAGCTGAACTTGAGCTTTACACCTTGCACTAATTTGTCCACTTCTTAAAATATAATTTTTTAAAGTTTTCTCAGATGATGAACATTTTATTTCCACCACGCAATCCTATAAAATACCATCTGGTGATGCACCTAGTTCAGGATATTTTCCGTTGAGAATTAAACCAACATCTTGAATTTTTTTCTGCAACTTTTTTTCCAATTCTTTTTTGACAGCTGCTTCAAGAACTTTGCCCCGCTTTATACTTTTTGTCTCAGTTAATTTTTGAGCACCAAGAATACTATTTATAAAACTTCCATCTTCTTTGTGGCAATGAATGGCATCATAAATTTTTGAAGCTGTAATCCGCCCATAACGCAGTTCATGCCATTCATGGCTAGCACTTTGATCTTTTGTGACGTCAACAATTGTAGAACAAAGCTCATTCGTCATCGTGTTTTCAGCAAAACTTAAAAAATGTACATATGTTTTACCACCACACTTTTGAAATTCACTTAACAGTTTATGTAGCCCCAAATGTGTTCTATCGTGATCAGGAGAGAAGCTTTTGTAGTATTTCACCAACTGATTATTTGAATGTACCTCTTTCCCTTTAGAAACAACAACATCTAAGAAGCCAGCATAAACCTTGGAATCAAAATCAGGTGTTACACCAAAATTGTCTGTTTTAATAATGGTTGATTTTGCTGCAGATAAAATTGGTTTTTTCCAATAGCATTCTATGGATATTGGTGATGGCTGTGTACTTTTTTTGTGAACCCACATTAGAAATGCAAGGGCATGTTTGCAACCTCCCTCTGCTGCACTACAGTCGAAGCACTTAACTGTGTCTACAACTTCTTGCTCTTCATCCACAATCATGATGATTTTATAATTTTTTGTTCTTATGCGATGTTCGGGACATATTTCACTTGTCACTGTGCATATATTTCCTTCACGTTTTAACTGTACATAGCCCACTGCACTTTCGATATAAGTCCCTCTCATTGACCTAAAAGTAAAATAACTTAATTTAACTAATTAGTAAAAATATGATATTGTTGAAAAAGCAACTCATACATAACTTAATATTGTAAATTACATTAGACAATAAATAAAGCACTTTTGATTATTTCAATAAAGCCTTTTCTGACATGTTCCTATTTAGGTTCATCTTTTATGACAAACTGAAGTCTTGATCGGTCGAATTACTGATAAAAACAATATTCAATGTATAAATTAACTTTGCCCCAGTAGGTATGTACTCACCATTCTGCCTTTACTCCTCTTATTTCGTTTTGGTTAAAACAATCATTGGATTTTATGAACTCCATTAACATAAAACTGTTTACTACTGGTAAATTGTCACTTTGTGCTTGTACAAAAGCCATAGTAATTAACAAAAAAACACAATTATTGTTCCCTAAATACAATATTCTACAATACAAATTTAATTTCAACACAACAAAACAATCAAAAACAACAACAGGTTAGGTTTTATAAAACGTCAATTCTCAGATGTAAACAAAACTAATGACAATAGAGCATAATTACGTCACAGCCGATTCGGAAATATTCGGGTAGTGGTCGGATCATTCAAATTTAATTGATTTTTAATTAACAAATTATAAATAAATAATGAGTTTTAAATAACCTGTTGAATTAGAGGGCCATATATTAACATAATTTATCTTATAAGACAGTAATTAGAAGATTATCTCACTGTCGCGTGTAGCTGATTATAATAGAAAATATACATCCTTAAAATAACAATAATATCGAACGCTACCCCATAATCGATTTATAAATTACAGAGTTACTAATCCTCAACAAAACGTATCCATCGTTACAGACGTGGTCTGTCGAAAACAGCTGATATGAATATATTTGAATTAATCTAGAAACTACTCTACACTCAGAAAACAAGATAGTAAAGACGAAATTTTGAAAATGTGAAATAAATATTATTTATTTCAGAGAAATGAAAATAAACGAAATTGTTTAATAAAGTGACGTAATTATAAAAAATTGCAAAATCTGATCGTAACATCTATATCCCTTCCCCGATGAAAAAAAAATCAAATACATACCACCTTTAAAGTAACAGAATTGGCAATCATCATTAGTAGCATGTTTCACAATAATGGTTTTGTTTTTATAAGCAGCATTTCCAGTTTCTGTAAATCTTGCATGAACTTTTTAAAAACTTTTCGATTCGGGATACGTATATCGGAATATTGTTGATGATAAATTTAGTTTTGGCAATAAACAATTTCTGTTTGATTTTCCCAAAACATATATCATGTCAATTATTTAATTTTTATATTTGGAAAATTCATTTATAATAAAAAAATGCCGATTAGTAAAAATTCCCTGAAATTTTAATGTCTGTCACTTAATAATCTGACTTTTCATTAAGTGATTAAATGTTCACTTTTAGCAAAACAAGGACTTTTGTAAATAAATATTTTTCGGTAAAAATTTTATAGGCATGTACTAATAATAGTACCTTACAATTATAAAAAAGTTATTCCATTTAAAAATTAAATTATTTATCTAATTTACTATTAAATCAGCCTGCAAACATGGCAATAATTGCCTACTATTTGGTTTGGAACAAACAAATTGTGTATAGGACTATGGCAGAGGTTTGCCGGATACTGTATACTTTTTAATTAATTGCGTATCACATTAAAACCAACAAATATTTTTGTTTCAGCCTTATCCTTACCTTCTCCTTCTGGCTACAAACACAAAAGAAGAATATCATTCAGCGCCGAACAAATTTCAAAGTTGGAAGAAGTATTTAAAAATTCTGCTTATGTATCTACAAAAGATAAGGCTAATTTAGCTGAATTAAAAATGTCCGTCTGCCAAATAAAAACATGGTTTCAGAAGGGACGATCTAGAATCAAAAATAAGGACAGACAAATAAAATATTATAACGTTATACCATCGAAGACTTCTATGTTCTATAAGTTGCAACTTATTAAATCATAAAAAAAATTAACAACCCTACAGATGTACATTGATAAAGTTACATCAAATTTAAATAGATTTCAACTCGAACGAATCTTGTATGTAAAATTTGACAAAATAATTTAGTATTAAAGTTACTGAAAATAACCAAATGTAATTCGTTGGAGCCAAAACAAAAATCTATGCTCAAGACCACATTAAAATGATATAAATAAAAAAATTACTTAGCTTAAACAGTAGATAAAGAATCCACGGAGCAACCCAAGATTCAAGACTGCTTTTATTAAGTATTGATACTAGGTGGACATCAAAATGGTGAAGTTGGTGACTCTATGTTAAAGATTTAAACCGCAAACTACATGGACTCATTGTACACCTCTCGACAAACTAAACTCTTAGAATGGAAGACATCCAAATCAAAGAAAATCCAATTAACAGGACATCAAATATGTATGGTACAACATCACATAAATGATCAAATTCCATAAAATATTCTCCATTATCACTTACATGGTAAATATCAAAGAATAGATCGTTACCCAAATCATTGTACAGATCGTAATCGTACATAACTTTGTACCAATCGCTATCCAAATCGTTAATACACGCTATACAAAAACGCTCCTAAAAACACGTGTTCTATGAAGATACACAAAAAAAGTGACCAAAAAAAACTTACCGGCCAGCTTTCCAACTGCGTCATTAGCCAAATCCAGAATACAACTGTATTATTAAAAAAATATGTATGGTGTTCAAATCCCGCAATCCCAACAATTGTTGTACCCTGTATAATACAAATATATTTGTATTACAAAAATATCTTTGAAGTGAAACTTTAGACTATCTTATCTTAATGCATTTAAGGCATTACGAAAATTCATGAAGATGTCTCGAGTCAATAAATCAGATTTTATTACTTTAACTTAAAGTTATCAACAACGTTCCATTTAGTTACAATCTTTCGATTTAATTATGAAATTAAATTAGGACACATGCCGCAAAGAAGCGTCACACGTCCCTCGTTCATATAAAACCCAAATTCTATTTACAAATTTGTTCAGTATTTTCAGTAGTTTTGTACTATTAACATCAACGCACTTGTATATATTTTCCATCAAAGTATAAAATAAAAGTAGTGAAAAGTAAAGTGAATCTTTTAATTAATTCAACGAGAGGTTCCCAACACAATAAGGGCGATTTTAATTACTATGCAATACCAAAAAATTCTACAAATGCATAAAATTATAACTACGGACACACACACAGGCTTTATTAATGACCTTGCTGCGTCGTTGGCTGTTAAACTTGGAAAGAACGAAATATGCGTAATTTCTCCTAACCAAACAATCAATATCTACAAATCGATAATCGATTTACATTCCGATACATCGATAAATAACCACAACGAGTTATATACAACAATTAATATTGTTATCTGCTGGATCAACTAAATCCTAATACAGATGACCCAATTATTAACCTCTTATAAAACATTTCTAATTATAATAGAAAATGTACATCCTAAAAATAACAATAATATCAAACGCTACCCCATAATCGATTTATAAATTACAGACTTACTAATCCTCAACAAAACGTATCCATCGTTACAGACGTGGTCTGTCGAAAACAGCTGATATGAATATATTTGAATTATTCTAGAAACTACTCAACACTCTGAAAACAAGATAGTGAAGACGAAATTTTGAAAATGTGAAATAAATATTATTTATTTCAGAGAAATGAAAATAAACGAAATTGTTTAATAAAGTGACGTAATTATAAAAAATTGCAAAATCTGATCGTAACATCTACATCCCTTCTCCGATGAAAAAAAAAAACAAATACAAATACATACCACCTTTAAAGTAACAGAATTGGCTATCATCATTAGTAGCATGTTTCACAATAATTGTTTTGTTTTTATAAGCAGCATTTCCAGTTTCTGTAAATCTTGCATGAAATTTTTAAAAACTTTTCGATTCGGGATACGTATATCGGAATATTGTTGATGATAAATTTAGTTTTGGCAATAAACAATTTCTGTTTGATTTTCCCAAAACATATATCATGTCAATTATTTAATTTTTATATTTGGAAAATTCATTTATAATAAAAAAAATGCCGATTAGTAAAAATTCCCTGAAATTTTAATGTCTCTCACTTAATAATCTGCCTTTTCATTAAGTGATTAAATGTTCACTTTTAGCAAAACAAGGACTTTTGTAAATAAATATTTTTCGGTAAAAATTTTATAGGCATATACTAGTAATAGTACCTTACAATTATAAAAAAGTTATTCCATTTAAAAATTAAATTATTTATCTAATTTACTATTAAACCAGTCTGCAAACATGGCAATAATTTCCTACTATTTGGTTTGGAACAAACAAATTGTGCATAGGACTATGGCAGAGGTTTGCCGGATACTGTATACTTTTTAATTAATTGCGTATCACATTAAAACCAACAAATATTTTTGTTTCAGCCTTATCCTTATCTTCTCCTTCTGGCTACAAACACAAAAGAAGAATATCATTCAGCGCCGAACAAATTTCAAAGTTGGAAGAAGTATTTAAAAATTCTGCTTATGTATCTACAAAAGATAAGGCTAATTTAGCTACTGAATTAAAAATGTCCATCTGCCAAATAAAAACATGGTTTCAGAACAGACGATCTAGAATCAAAAATAAGGACAGACAAATAAAATATTATAACGTTATAACATCGAAGATTTCTATGTTCTATAAGTTGCAACTTATTAAATCATAAAAAAAAAAATATCAAGCCTACAGATGGACATTGTTAAAGTTACATCAAATTTAAATAGATTTCAACTCGAACGAATCTTGTATGTAAAATTTGACAAAATAATTTAGTATTAAAGTTACTGAAAATAACCAAATGTAATTCGTTGGAGCCAAAACAAAAACCTATGCTCAAGACCACATTAAAATTATATAAATAAAAAAATTACTTAGCTTAAACAGTAGATAAACAATCCACGGAGCATCCGAAGATTCGAGACTCTGGTTTTATTAAGTATTGATACTAGGTGGACATCAAAATGGTGAAGTTGGTGACTCTATGTTAACACGTTCCCTGCCAATGTATTATGAGCGATTTGGTCGCTCAGCGCCAAAATGTTTTTTCATTGCTAAGTGATGAACTAAACTAAAATATTTGTATTTTAATATCATACGCTATCGATAATTAAATGTATCCAATATTTAGAGCTTTCGGTCAAAATGACCGACGCGGCGTAGCGCAGTTAACTTGATCGTGCTGAGCCGGGTCGGTCACGGCTTCGGTCACCTAAAAGCTCCGTGTTTTTGAGCTTGAATATTGTTTGCGTGGTCAGAGGAGTGGGGTTCGCGACGTTTTCGATAATTGTGACTTGTTTTAGTACGTT